GAGGAGGAGGAGGAGGAGGAGGAGGAGGAGGAGGAGATTGTATCTATACCCCTCCCTTCACTCGGAGCCTCAGAGCATCTTCCAATCTCCTTTCCCTCCCCCTCCCCACAACAGACACCCTGTGAGGTATGTGGGGCTGAGAGAGCTCTGAGGGAACTGCCCTTGAGACGACAGCTCCGAGAGAACTGTGACTCGCCCAGGGTCACCCAGCAGGCTTCACGTGGAGGAGTAGTTGGGACTCAAACCTGGTCCTCCAGATTAGAGTCCATCGCTCTTAACCCCAGGGCTATTTTTGGGCAGGAACGCACAGGAACGGAGTTCCAGCTGGCTCCTGAGTTGGCCATGCCCAGCAGGAGCTCATTAGCATAACAGGCCACACCCAACAGCAGAAACTCATTAGGATTGGCTACATTAGGGGTGTGGCCTAACATGCAAAGGAGTTCCTGCTACAAAAAAAGGCCCTGAGTTTTGACAACAAACAAAGTAAACAGAATAAGAAGCAAAAGGTGGGTGTGGCTAGATGACCACACTTCCGGTAACACAGGGGTGTGTGGCCTAATATGCTAATGAGCTGTACTATCAGGGGTGTGGCCTAATATGCTAATGAGTTTCTGCTATTGGGTGTGGCCTATTATGCTAATGAGTTCCTGCTGGGCTTTTTCTACCTAAAAAGTCCTACTTAACCCCTACACCAAACTGGCATAGGAAGTCCAGGGTGGCTGTGCAGAGGTAGACAGTAGCAAACCACCTCTGAAGTCTGAACAACTCTTCCCGTGGAGACCCCGTGATGAATTACCATCAATCAGCTCTGACTTGACAACGCCTTCTACCACAACAAATAAATAACTACAATGTGAAGACTAATATCTGTATTTTCAACATGTTTTTTTTTTTTTTTTTGCTGTGTAAGGGTTGCCACCTTTGAGGGGGCAGAACTGTGATGCCTTCAACTGTCGTATAGCAGGCTGAGCTTCCTCAGGTGCAGCTTTCCCAATCGGTTCCTCTCCAGGTTGGAGCCAGCTAACCAGTTGGATTTCTGCCCGTCCCATGGCTGCTAGCAAGGGAAAAGGCGGCTGTGCTTTGTCTCCAAAGGAAACATTCCGTGTGTCCTGCTACTCCTGACTCTCTCTCTTTCTCTTAAACCAGGTATGTCGGAAAGGGAAAGGCAAGTGATGAAGAAGCTGAAGGAAGTGGTCGATAAACAGAGGGATGAAATCAGAGCCAGGGACCGGGAGCTTGGGCTGAAGAATGAGGATGTGGAAGCGGTAAGCGGCCTCGGCTTCCTCTTTCCATTGAGGAATCGTCCCCAAGTTGTCTTTTTATGGCTTTTTTGTTTTTGCTTTGCATCACAGGAAAAAAATAGAGTAACAACATATTCAATCCCCCCCCCCCCCAATCTCGTGGTTTTGTTGGGTAACGGAAGTTTAGACACTGTACTTAATAATAAAACAGTTAATACAGAGGGAAGGAACGGTGTAAAATAAGCCTGACGCTGGGAGGTGCTTGCACAGATGTGCCTTGGGCTTTCAAGGGCTTGTAGTAGCCATGTGGGTCCTGGATTCAGATCAGGGCTGCAGCTCAAAGAGGTTTCCCCTCCCTGCTGTTTTGACCATCAAAATGGACTGACTCTCTCTTTCTCCCGGGCAGTGCTGTTATTAGAAACAGTTGCCCTCTTAAAGACGTCCTTCTTTTCCGTTCTTGGAGAAATTTCTGCATCTTTCAGTCCACAAAGCGACACGGAGAGAGATTTTAGGCCAGTTTCCTTCCACGTTGCAACTCTGATTTGAATCGGAATTCTGCTTTTTGTATTTTTAAAGAGGTCTGTTCCCTGATCTCCAGTATCACGTCTGGTTTTATATTTGTTTGATTTACACCCTCTCAACTGTTTTTGTTCCAGAAAAGTAACTATTGAGTACTTTTCCTCCATATAATGGTCTGTGTTCAGCTACTCCATCAAATGCTAGTGTTTGGTGTAGTGGTTAAGTGCGCGGACTCTAATCTGAGAGAGCCGGGTTTGATTCCCCACCACTCCACTTGCAGCTGCTGGATGACCTTGGGCAAGCCATAGTTCTGTCAGAGCTGTTCTCTCAAGGACAGTCCTCGAAAGAGCTCTCTCAGCCCCACCTACTCACAGGGTGTCTGTTGTGGGGAGGGGAAGGGAAAGGAGTTTGTAAGCCGCTCTGAGACTCCAAGTGAAGGGCCGGGTATAAATCCAATCTCCCCCCTTCCTCTTCTTCGCAAGAACTGTGTGTGTGTGTGTGAGAGAGAGCTTATCTTAAGATACAAAGCCTTGTGCATCAAATCCAGCTAGAGCGGTGGGAGGGTAGCTTTCAATTGTTCCATTTCTGTACTGTAATAGGTCTCTGCCAAGTAATTCTTAATGTTCAGGCCCATTGCCTATGTTTATACAACAGACTCACGGAAGCTAGGTCTATCAATATGTAACAATAGAGAACGGAACTTCCATATGCAGGAGCACTATACCTTGGACGAATCACTGTTGGGGCCAGACAGCTAGGGATGGCTCTATCACAGTTTTTATTCCACCCTTCCTTCATGGAGCTCAGGGCCGCGTGAGCCGTTTTGCCCTCACAACTGCCCTGTGAGGCAGTCTAGCCTGCAAGACCGTGACTCGTCTCAAGTCATCCAGCAGGCCTCTTGTCCGAGCAGGAAACTGAACCTAGCCCCTGCCCTCTTCTTTCTCCATTATTCCTGCCACTGTGTCATACTTCCTTCTTCCTTCCCAGTATCTAGCTGATGACTACCATAGATGCCTATACGGGTGCAATGCTGTGCACATTTATGTGAATGTAAGCACCGTTGAACCTGGTGGGACTTAGTTCTGAGCAGACACGCACGAGATTGTGCTGAAAATGCTGGACTAAAGGAACATCTTGCTTGATCCAGTAGAGCTAATCTTAACAGGAAATGTGTCGGCTAATTAAAAGAGTATCTGGAGTCTCCCCTGGGCTTCAGCATTAGATTTGCCGTTTAAAAATAACTCTGAAATATGGAGATCTTTCCGCACAACCTGACCCACAAAAGAACAAAACTCACCGTGATGAATAAAAGCTTAATGTATTCTACCAATGCATACATTACATTGAGTCAATAATTCTAATTTCCAGGTTTCCACCATATATTTGTGGATCTTGCAGCTATCTAACATTTTCGAACTGAAACTATCACAATAATAAATTGTAACACAGTATTTATGGGGTATCTTTACGATCCTGCCAACCTAGCAGTTCGAAAGCAAGAAATTGCAAGTAGATAAATAGGTACCACTTTGGTGGGAAGGTAACAGCGTTCCGTGTGCCTTGGTGTTTAGTTATGCCAGCCACATGACCATGCAAATGTCTTCGGACAGCGCTGGCTCTTCGGCTTTGAAACGGAGATGAGCACTGCAACCCTAGAGTCGGACTCGACTGGCTTTCGAGCAAGGGAACCTTTACCTTTTATTCCGTAGTTACTCTCTATTGAACTGTACACAACCTCCTTGAGAATAAATTCTCACTAACGATGAATTCTGAGATCTAATGCTTCAACATGTCTCAGCTGTATGACGATCAAAACCCATTCGTAAAGAATCCAGCGGCCCAACAGATAGCCGGAGTTATCCTCCTGTTTCCGTTTCCTCTTTTTCAAGAATCGCTCTCGTTTTACAGCCAGTATTTTCTAGAGAACTTCCCAGACAAAACTACTAGAGAGCTTCGTTCTGAATGGAACACGCCCATCTCCTGCTGTCAGTTCTTAGGTGGGGGTTTAGCATCCTTCCCGCCTCTGCGGTTTCTCTGGTCTCCCTCCAGATTACACAACCTGACCCCGCACCTTGTCTCCTTCTGGTTTTTCCCTCCCCTCCGCTCTCCCTCCGTTATTAAACCAATGGGATGGTTTGCCACTTCATTGCCAAGGCTTAACAGCGGGTTAACAGGGAGCTGCGGTGGCTCAAGTGGTTAAGACGCTGAACTGCAGGCTGTGGAAGGTCGGTAGTTCAGCAGTTCGAGACCCAGGTTGCCGCATGACGGAGTGAGCTCCCGTCTCTAGTTCCAGCTCCTGCCAACCTAGCAGTTCGAAAGCAAGAAATTGCAAGTAGATAAATAGGGACCACTTCGGTGGGAAGGTAACAGCATTCCGTGCGCCTTGGTGTTTAGTCATGCCGGCCACATGACCACGGAAAGGTCTTCGGACAGCGCTGGCTCTTCGGCTTGGAAATGGAGATGAGCACCGCAACCCTAGAGTCGGATTCGACTGGCTTTCGAGCAAGGGAACCTTTACCTTTTAACAGCGGGTTCCCGGCCTTCTTTCCCTCTCTCCTGCAGCTTCAGCAGCAACAAAACCGGCTGATGAAAATCAATCACGACCTCCGGCACCGGATCACCGTGGTGGAGGCTCAAGGGAAAGCCCTGATTGAGCAGAAAGTGGAGCTGGAGGCGTATCTGCAGACCAAGGAGCAGGAGATGGCGGCGCTCCGGGCGGAGCTGGGCAAGCTGCGAGAGAAAGCCCCGGGGGAGCCCAGCCAGAACGGAGAAGACGCTCCGGTAGGTGCCGCCGCGAAGCAGCCGTTGGGATTCAACTCTGCAAAGAGGGTTGGGGCGTGAGAAACCTGGTATTGTGCTCCAGCTGGCATGGATCCAGGCCCGTAGCTACAGTGGGGGGTCTTGGGGCTAGGCCCCCCCTGACTTCCCATCCAGCCCAGGGTGTCATGGGCCGTCTCCCCTGGATTAATTTGATTAGCCAGTGCCCCCTAAGAAATTTAAATGCCCCCTGACTTTAAAAAAATCCTGGCTACAGGCCTGCATGGATCCCCCTAAAGAATTGGGGGGGGGAGGGTTCTGGGACTGTTTGTATGCCTGGGGTTGCCAACCTCCAGGCAGAAGCTGGAGATGTCTATGTGTTCCCTCTAGGCTGAGTGAGTGTGAGCTAGCTCACAGGTTTTTTTTAGCCTCCGGCTCACACGTTTTTGCCTTAGCTCAGGAAGGGATGGCTCCAGAGCCAACTAATTTATGCAGCAGTCAGATCGCTCGCTCACAACTTTCATGCCAGTGGCTCACAAAGTAGAACTTTTGCTCACAAGACTCCACAGCTTAGAGGGAGCGTGGGTTACAACTGACCCCCAGGCGACAGAGGTCAGCTCCCCTGGAGAAAATGGCCGCTTTGGTAGACTGGAGTCCCTCCCCTCCCCAGACCCCGCCCTCCTCAGGTATTCCCCAACCTGGAGATGGCAACCCTAGCATAGCCCCTTGTGCACACTACCATTGGCAGGGTTCCTTGTGGAGATATAAGGTTGCCAACCTCCAGGTGGAGCCTGAAGCTCTCCCGGAATTGCAGCTCATCTCCAGATATCAGAGATCACTTCCCCGGAAGAAAATGTTTTTGTTTTTTTTTGAAGGTGGACTCTGTGGCATTATCCCCCGTTATCTCCAGGGATTTCCAGAGCTGGAGTTGGCAACCCTACCTCTGCCTGAGACCCTGGAGAGCTACTGCCAGTCTGAGTAGACAAGACTGACTTTATTTATTATTTATTTATTTATTCTTTGGATTTGTATCCCGCCCTCCCCGAAGGCTCAGGGCGGCTAACAAGGGCATAAATGCCAAATTGTAACAATAAAAGGAGTATAAAATACAATAATACAAGTATTACAGTTAATTAAAATGAGTAAAAATAAGTTTTCGGTGCTCCGATACTCACTCCGAATCATAAAACCAAGATGGTATTCTGAAGATGTTTTAGCTAAACAACAGCAACAATACATGTCCCCACAACCCTGTCGTCCACTAGGGACATCCCGCACCCTCAATGATTCCCGTACCTGCGGTAGTAGAGTGCGGTGATGAAAAGGCGTTGGTGGAATAATGGTGGCGGCGGCTCCTACTCAAAAGCCTGGCGGAAGAGCTCCGTTTTACAGGCCCTGCAGAACTGTACAAGGTCCCGCAGGGCCCGGATCTCCTCCGGGAGCTCCTCCGGGAGTTCATTCCACCAGGTAGGAGCCGACGGTTTGATTCGGCGTGAGGCAGCTGTTTACGCGTGTGTGTTTGTGTGTGTGGAACCCCTCTGGCTTGTCTCTGGGTGGCTCAGTTATGCCGCTTTCGTGGTCATCGTGGAGACTGTGTCGCCTCACTAACAGAAAGAGTCGTGACAAAGCTATGTTATCTTAACGGCAGGGCTGACCCTTTGATGGTGGCCGAGTCCTTCGCTGAGTTAGGGAGCCTGCTACTGGGAGGTTGAAAACAGAATCGAGGAAAGGGTCCTTGCCGAATGGATCCACAGGATGTGACCCCCAAATGTCCTTGGTGTGCACGTTTTCCGCCCTCTGCTTTTTTGCTTCGAAGTGTCATTCTCTTCCACACGCTTGTCAAGTTCCAGCCCATCCCCATGTAGATAAATGAAAGATGACTTTGAGGAGGAACCCTGAACATACTTGGTTAAAAGTAAGAAGTCGGTGAGGCTTACTTCTGGGAACATAGGAATGGGGTAAAGGCTGAAGGACTCTGAATTGTGCCTTTGAGAACTTTGAAATGGGATGATCGGGGGTACTGTTTTTAGACAGTTAAATTTAAGCTTTAAAGGAAAAGTATTAGAAATGTTTGACTCAGTATATAATGTGATTAATGTTGGGAAGACTTGATGTAACTGAGCTACTAGGAGGATCTCCTCTCTTGGGTTTTTAGTCAGTAGTGGGTTCTTTACTTTATCCCGTAAATTTAGTTTCCCTTCCTTTTTCTTCTGTTATAGTTTTTGTAGTGATATAAAAAATCCCTTCCGGGGCTCAACCTCCCCCAAAAAACATAGGAATGGGCTGCAAATATAACCTTGGTAATCTCTGAAGAAAAGAAAAAACATTGGATGTTCACCCACCAATTTAGAAAACGTATACGCTATTGCTCCAGAGCTCTGCTTCTTTGGTGTAGTGGTTAAGTGTGCGGACTCTAATCTGGGAGAACCGGATTTTATTCCCCACTCCTCCACTCGCAGCTGCTGGATGACCTTGGGCAAGCCATAGTTCTGTAAGAGCTGTTCTCTCAAGGACAGTTCTGGAAAGAGGTCTGTAACGATTCCTTGTTTATGTGTGTGTGTCTCTTTAAAAGTTTGGTTGCATGTGATAGTCTAGAGTGCTTGAAGAGGCAAGTGTGGTGTGATTGGTGAGTGACAGAGAGGGGGAGGGGTTTTGGAAGGCTTTCTGTGTGGATGAATTTGTATGTCTGTTAAGAGTGACAGTTACAGGTTTGACAGTTGAGGATGACAGTTGTTAAGAGTTAAGTTCTGAGTTCTGTGAGAGAACCAGAAGTTCAGTTAAGCTCTGTGTATGAAAGAAGTGAGAAGCTGTTCTGTGTGAAAACAGTTAAGCTGTCTGTTGATGTTGTTCAGAGAAGAAGAAAAGTTTAGGAAAGGCTGTATGTCCTGGAGAGAAACAGTGAACTTACATGACCTTGAGTTAAAGTTACAAAGTTACCTGAAAAATCCCTGACAGAAAGGGAGCAGAGCTTGTGTGAGACACCAAAGAATTTATCAGAATATTCACATTACCAGTTACTTTGTTCTACAAATACCAAGGGTTTAAAAGGGGGATTATATTTATTTATTTTAAAAGAATTATGAAGCCAGAATGCCAGCAGGGGGTTGGGGGCTATCCAGTGTTTTGCACGGAGTGTCACATGTATGACTATCTGCCCACTGGGCAGAAGTCTTGGGTGTGTCCTCGGTGCAAGGAGCTCCTGGTTCTCAGGGAACGTGTGTGCTCCCTTGAGGCCAAGGTGGCTGACCTGGAGAAGCAGAGACAGTCAGCTAGGCACACAGAAAAGACTCTCGGGGACTTGTTAGCTTCGTCCCACTCTGGATCTGGCAGCCCCGCTGCTGTCAGGGAGCATGAGGGTCTAGGGGAAACAGGGCACCATGCTGAGGATAAGGGGAATGTGCCCTCAGAAGGGACCTCTTCCCCAGCTGGTGAGCGGCTCTCCTTTTGCACCAAGGAACCATCCCTGAGCAGGGTGGGAGGGGGGCTCTTGGTAGTGGGTGATTCGATCCTTAGGCAGGTAGACAGCTGGGTGGCGAACCCGCGTACTGACCGTATGGTGACTTGCCTGCCTGGTGCGAAGGTAGCGGACATTACGCGTGTTTTAGATAGGCTGGTAGATAGTGCTGGGGAGGAGCCAGTGGTCGTGGTGCATGTCGGCACCAACGATGTGGGGAAATGCAGTCGTGAGGTCCTGGAGGAGAAATTTAGGCTGCTGGGCAGGAAACTTAGGTCCAGGACCTCCAAGGTAGCCTTCTCAGAAGTGTTACCTGTTCCACGCGCAGGGCCGGAGAGACAGGCAGAGATCAGGAGTCTCAATGCGTGGATGAGACGATGGTGTAGGGGGGAAGGGTTCAGGTTTGTTAGGCACTGGGATACTTTTTGGAACAAGAGGGAGCTGTACAGGCGAGACGGTCTCCACTTGTCCCGAGAAGGAACCAGGCTGCTGGCACTTAAAATCAAAAAGGTGGCAGAGCAGCTTTTAAACTGAATATTGGGGGAAAGCCGACAGGAGATGAAAAGTCTCTGGTTCGGGTTGGCTCATCTGAGAGAGGTGAGGGGGTACCGGTTGCTTTTCTACAGGGAGGTGGATTGAAATTGTCCACAGAGGCCATGGCTGGTGACATGGACTGCCGGACAACGACTCGAGATAGCAAGAGGAAGGATGCAGGCTTAACTTGTAAGGGAAATTACAGCTGTTTCTATACAAATGCTAGAAGTGTCCGAGGTAAAATCGGGGAGTTGGAGTGCTTGGTGTCGGAGGGAAAAATAGACATTGTGGGTATTTCTGAAACTTGGTGGGATGAGGAAAATCAGTGGGACACAGTGATTCCCGGTTATATATTATATCGGAAGGATAGGGGGGGAAGGGTTGGAGGTGGGGTAGCTCTGTATGTCAGAGAGGGTATAAAGTCTAGAAAGATTGAGAGGCTAAGTGAATTGGATTCGCTTCTGGAAGTTCTATGGGTTGAAATAGGGGGGCCAAAAGGAAACTTAACACTGGGAGTTTGTTATCGCCCACCAGATCAAAAGATAGAGGAGGATTATAAAATGATGAATGCCTTAAAGATAGCAACTAGACAAAAACACTGTGTAATAATAGGTGATTTTAACTACCCACACATTGATTGGGTCAATATGTGTTCTAGTCGGGAAAAAGAGATTGAGTTTCTAGACACTCTAAATGACTGTGCTATGGAGCAGATGGTCACGGAACCTACCAGGGGAGAGGCGATCCTTGATTTGGTCCTAAGTAACACTCAAGACCTGGTGAGAGATGTAAAAGTGATTGCACCGCTTGGAAACAGTGATCATAATGTTGTTGAGTTCATCATTTGTACAAATAGAGAATTGGCCAAAAAGACTCACACAACCATTTTTAACTTTAAAAGGGGTAATTTCTCTGATATGAGGGGACACGTGGGGAGGAAACTGAAAGGAAAAGTAGAAAGGGTCAAAACAATTGGGGAAGCTTGGGATCTATTTAAAACTACGATCCTAGAAGCTCAAAAAATATATATTCCGCA